TATTTCTTGACTGGGACTTTGACTCCTGGTGTTCTGTCATCACAGTGACTTCAGCAGACAACCAGGGCAAAAATCAGGTCATTCCAGAGACTAGTGGTCCTGACTCCAAAGGCTCGGTGTCCTCAACCTAGAATCCATTAACTGACCTCATTAAGGGTTAGCATACCAGCGGTATAATTAGAGGCAAATCTAATATGTGCATTAGAAGTAAACATAAAAATGTTAAAATCTATCATAAAACCTAACTTTTACTGCATTTTTGTAAGTAGCCTTGTTGCACCAAGTTCACTTTTTTTTTTTTTTTTTTAAACAATCTGTATACGTGTGACTGAAAGGTAACCTTTGTTCTTTCATACTAATTTGAACCCACATATGTTAAACCTGTATTTCCATCCTTTTTATCTTTACAGCTGGCAGTGTAATCCAACTGATGAGACCCAGACACTGTAATAACAAGTCTGTTGTGCTGCTTGTTTCCTGGATTAAGGAAATTAGTTTAACATCTGATGTTTAGAAGATCACACATCATTGCTGTAACCATAAATTTAAAAATATTCTCTATGTCAACAACCTAAAAAAAAAAACACCACTGCCATTGCTGAATACTATTCATGTGTGTGGGTACTAGATATTTTTGTTGTGTATCATGTGCTTTGTGTTTTCTGTTTTGGCACGGCAAACCAATTTTCCAAAGAAACATGGACACATGGCATTACATTATGAGAACTACAACAATAATACATGTGCCGCTGTACACTGATGATTGTGTTTTGAACAGCTGTATTTGAATATTTTGGCAAGGTGCCATTATGAGAGCTTAATCCAGGATAAAGGAGGCAGAATTTTATATGAAACATTCCTCTGCTCAGGAAGAAGGAATGCAGCGATAGTATTTTTTGGAAAGCTAATATGTTGAATGGGTTCAGACTAAAAGAGAAAAACGTCGAACAGATGAAAAGAAAAGAAGGAAATAATAATAGAGGATTAGCTACAGTTGATAATGACAAGGAAGAACATGGAAGGATGAAGAGAGTAAGGAGATGATGGGTTGGTATCCGTTCCCCCCAAACCAGCTGAAAACTGACCACACTGACAGTCAGGAAATCTTAAACCTTATTTGAAAATTTATTAGGAGCAAATCAAAACAAAACACAATGTGAGCGAGTCATAAAACAATTTCAGCTATCATTTTTAGTTACACATGGTTCATTCTTAATCTTGTAGTGATGCTTACTAGCTTTTCCTGGAACTTTGAACTGCATCTCATGGTCTTCATCTGCTAATTAAGACTGTAAGGTGTGTGGAAGCTCTAGAAAATGCTAGTAAGTAGACCTTGAGATTTGATTTTCTATCAAATATATACATTTGTATCAAATTGCATTATTTGTCAGGAAAAATGGCAATTGATATTTTCCCCACATCATTCGGTCCTTTGTGAGACATTGGTATTTACTTGCTTTTACTAGAATTTAGGAACTTTGTACCATCAAGTATGAAGTATCGGAGCCTTTAGAAAAATTTTGCATGTGTACATGAACTTTTTTTAAAGTGGGAAATTGGTAATTAAGATAACTCTGATGTTACATAGTAGTTAATGTGAGGTCAACAAACTACATGTGCCAGTAAGAATAATAAAGGTATAAGTTGTCTTGCCTAACAGGTTTAACAATAATAGTTTAGTGTCAATCAAGCATTGGATTTGCATGCTTACAAAATACTGAGAAGAGGACTAGTCAGGCAGAATAAGTAGAAACACCTGTATAGGTGAGCAACAGATGTTTACGGCTTACACCTCTGTCCACTTTTCAGCTATACAGACAATCTGTAAATAAACCGATAGCGTCCCTGGTTGACTAATAGAGACAAAAAGCAACATTTTGATGTAATTACAGGTAAGAAATATACACAATTGTATTACCTCTACTGGATGTGCACATACAGTTTAATTTTTACATTGGCTTGACCTTGATTATATTGCCTTGTGCAGAATAACTGTTTCAATTAGAGTTTAGTGTATTAAGTAAACCATTGGATGACCAATGATCAATGAATGCCATTGCCCCCAGCTTTTATATACAGTGCATTGTCTAATATACTATATTTTGGGGTATACTTTTAATCTATCAGTCAATATTAACTGCTCCCAAACAACATATCTCATATCAAACTGTTTATTACAGAATGTGTCCATCAGAGAGCACAGACAATTAAATTTATGTCCTGTAAAATGTTCCTCTCATTACATAGAGTACATATCTGGTGTAACTGGTAACTCTGACATGGTAGAGTTTGTCACAGCTCTGATAGTATTTTTAGCCATCTCACTTACAAAATAAAGGAGGAAAAAGATGTTTCTCAAAAATCAAGTTTAAATATTCAAATTGATGACCGTAACATAAGCATGTAGTAATGTAGGTATATCTAGAAGTGTCCTGTGTATCTGTATTGAGGAGTTTTAATAAAAGAAAACCTTCACAGGTAAGAAAAAAAAAAACATCTGAAAGCAGGAGGTCCTTCAGTTTCACTGCCCTACTGCAGTGAGATCAAACAGATCTTTTAATGCGTATTTTCACATTTCAAAGAATTTACTTGATAGTTTCCTCAACATAAACCAACACAACAGTAAGATGTAACACCCGTGCACAATCTGCCACTGAAAACCAACCCACATCTCCACAAACACACCCTCACTCAGTCAGTGTGGATGCAGCAGAGGCTCCTTGTTGGCCCGAAGCCTGCTGTTTACCTGAGCTCGGCCGGTGGCATCCTTCCAGCCAGGCCCACTGTAATTCAATCTGCAGACCACATGAATGCAGAGCCGAGCCGCACCCAAACAAAGCAAGAACCTGCAAACGCCAAGAGAATACCTGCAGTGTAATGCAGCTTGTGCTGTTGTGTGGGAATACACACACATCTGTAATTAAACTGTATTTACTCAGCGTAATTACAGATTAACAGATCATCAGGTGTTTGAAGTTTGAATGGTTGCCTCCTTGCTGACATCCTGCTCTGTCATTCTTCCTAATGCAGTTAACCAAAGACCATTATGTTGGATGTAATATTCAGGATGTCTGCATGTGTTCAGAGCTTTTACCTTAATCCTCCAAGTGAATATTTTTCAAATATCACCTGGCTCCTGAAAGAAGGAATATCCCGCTGTTGATTTTAATTTTGTCATTTCATGCTTCATGGTAAAGCACAGAGCATGACTGCCTTCCTTTACCACAGCAGGATAAAATGTCATTTTACAAAAAAAAGATATTTTCTCACTTAAGGGTTTGGGTTTTATTTACTCAAGCAGGGTTTCCCCCCAGGAAATTGGTTAGCTGAGGTGTTAAGCCACCGCATCCTGACACATTTACCCTGTGATAAATTTGACATGTACCAGTAGGTGCTTCAAAAAGTACTTGTTAAATTTGTGGCCTTTGCTGTGTGAATAAGTGCCTCTGCTGTTTTTCCCTAACAGTTCCATTTGTGAGCAGTGGTAGTCTTTGGTTAAGGGCTGCTGCTCATTCAGAGTGAGATCCTGGTCCTTTTTCCTGCAAGACACAGTAACCACATGTGCATTAGTGCTCCTGTCAACATAGCTGTAGGGAAAATATTTTAAAGCCTAAGTAATGCTGCAATGAATGAGAAGTCATTCACAGGAATTAATCATGGTTTTCATGTGGCTGTGAATGTTGTTGTGATGCAGCTCTGACCTTTAACCTTTGGAAGCCATCTATTAACTAAATCCAGGGCTTGAGATAGAGCATGTAGGGTAGCAACAATCAGGATGGCATCAAGCATTTGTTTTTATGCATAAACAATGTCCAGATTATTTTATTAATTGATCATTTTGACTATAAAATGCCAGAAAATGGCAAAAAATGTCCATCATAATTTCAAATTGTATTGTCTAACACTCAAAAATCTAAAGATAAATAATTTTGTATGTTTAAAACAGGAAAACCACATCCTTACATTAGAGAAGGTGAAATCTGAGCTTACTGAGCCTACTGGCAAGTGAAAAATTACTTTACTGCATCTTTAGGGCCTGTCACACACTGAAATTATAGCATCGGGCTGCACGATGGCTTGGTGGTTTGCACTGTTGCTTTGCAGCTAGAAGATCCTCAGTCGGCATCCCGGTTGGGCCGCCTGGGATCTTTCTGCGTAGAGTTTACATGTTCTCCCTGTGCAGCGTGGGTTTTCTCCGGGTTCTCCGGCTTCCTCCCATACTCAAACAAAAAAAGAAACAAACAAAAAAAACACATGCTGAGGTTAATTAGTGATTCTAAATTTACAAAAATTGAGAAGTTGTAGCATCAAGCTCAGTACAGGGGACAATAATATAATTGTGTTTTTGAAGCTCATCGCATTCAAGAATTACTTATCTGCTGTATCTAATCACTCTAGATATTTCTGTCAGCAGTTTATATACACTTTGGTGTTTTTGCAGAAAAAATTATTTCCAATAAATTTTAGTGATAGCCAACATCTTAAGAAAATCTCAAACATGAGCAAATGTACTAAAAACTGAAACCATCCGCATGGCTAGAGACCACTAGAGGAAAAAGTAAATATGCGTTTGTTTTGGGCGAATGTGGTGAACTATCCTTCCCAAAGTTAAGTAACCTCTGTGCTTCACTGCCCGCCCACTGCTTCTTATATTGGCAGGATGCATGATTTAGAGTTTATCCTCCACTCGGATCACATGAACAGCTGTGCAGATTGTGCACTATTCTCTTAAAGCGTGGATTAAGGACTTGTTTGTTTTCAGTCGACTCATTACTGAGATGGATCGTATTCTGTAGCAGATTGTCTTCAGCCGTGCCACCAGATGAGTTACTTACACGGCAGCAATGTCTGACTCGGTGGACTCTACATGTGGGATAGCAGAGGTGGGCTTTCCCAGTTGATTTTCTCGTTTCTCCAGGGGAGTTTTTGCATTTGTGTTGCGTGCACTCTGGTGTTTTGCTCACTGGACTGTGTTGTGTGTTTGTGTTTTGTGCTTACAGTATGGCAGAAGCCCCCTGCACTTGGCTGCCTACAAAGGCCACATTGAGGTTGTGCGTATCCTCCTCAAAGCCGGCTGTGACCTGGACATCCAAGATGATGTGAGTAGACTCATCTGTCTGTTGGCTGCGTCGGACATGTTTCCTCCTTTCATCCACTTCCAGCTCACTCTGCAATCCTGACCGATGGTTGCCAGCGTCCGCTTCTCTTTTGGCTTTGAGATTCTGTTAAGTTGAAATAACCTTTTTAACTTTAAATGATTTGTATTTAACACAAACATAACTGTAGCCTGATGGCCCCCAGTGGCCTCGAGTGGGACTCGCTGGACTGCCCACTTGTGGGTCTGCCTGCAGGGTGCGAGTCCCTCTTCCCCACAGATAGCGATAACCCCGATCTCTGGCACTGCCAAATTCACTCTCTGTGGTCAATGAGCTCTGCAACAGGCTGCAGTACGTCCTCCAGAACTGGGGGGAGCAGACTGAGGAAGGAGGAGGAGGGGAGAAGACAGTGGAGGAGGGCTGGGAAAGAGCCTGGAGGATCAGGGAGAGTGAAGGAGGTTAGCCAAACCTGCTCCTACAGAGTCAACGGAAATCTGTCCCCCCCATCCTTCCTTCCCTGAACAAACTCCAGTCCTCCACCGCTGCTGCTGCTGCTGCTGCTGCTGCTGCGCTCGGCTTGGCTCAGTTCTTATCTGGCTTTGAATGACCCTTCTTCTCCCTCCTGTTTCTCATCTCATCTCACGGAAACCATTGCTGCTTCCTCCAGTGCTCTCATGTCTAACCTGTGCTACTCACCGCTAATCTGCTCTGTGTGCAGGCATGTCATTTATGGCTGAGCATAAATAAGAGCTGAATCTCTTCTCTGTGCGCTCGCTGCTTTAGTTACGCTGATATGACCCACAGTGAACTCGGAGATTAACTGCTGTGGTTGTAACATATTAACATCGTAACCGCTGTAGTCTTAAGTAACTTGGTTGAGCTTGGGAATACTTACAAAACAGTCGACGTTTAAAGGAATAGTTTGTTTTTTTGGAATTTTGCACTATTTTTAGTATTTGTAAGATCATTTTAACTTAGTTCTATTACTGATATCTTTGGGATGAAGTGTTATTCAAATCAGTGGTAGGAAAACACACCTTCTGCTGCACAGAGTGTTCTGTATTTCATACTGTGTCTCTTATTAACAGTGTTCTGTGACCTTATCCTTTGGATCCACTGTTTTCGCAAATGGTGCTGCTGGATGCATAATATTTAGTTGTTAATTTTAAATGAGAGACACTATAAATTGTTAAAGTTGCAAGTCTTTTCTTTTTAGTCCCCTGAATGTACGTTATAAACCTAGAATGATTTCACTTGCCATACCTTCTAAACTGAAGGTTGAGAAATAAGATGGAAATCAAAAAACAATTTATGGTTTGGGGGGGACGAACATTCTCACACTAGTTCGTGACAAACCACTACGTATGCATCCATACAGAACTTCATCAAGCCACAGCATAGATTTCCAGTTTTGGTTGATGTGTGCAGGTTTACGGCTTTGTACAAACAAAAGCTGTTGTTTATAATGAGACTGTTCGAGCACTTAACTCCCACCCAAAACCACAAGTTACTATTTTTTTTTTTTTTTTACAGTTTTGTATACAGACTTAAAAAATGATGTGTTAATCTGTGAGCTTTAGAGATCTCATGTTTTTGATCTTAGACTAGCCACATCCTGACTCTGTAATTGATGCACAGAAAGGAGAAAGCATTCCCCAACAGGTTAAACAGAGAAATCTAAGTCAATTAAATCAATTTTGACATGCAGACCAGCGATCCATGTGCGAAAACAAACATCAGTCATATCTTTGAACTCCTTGCTGACATATAAAACACATCCATTAATCCATCCATCCATGTGTTTCTTTTACTCACAGTGAGCAGGAATAAAACCAGAATCCCACCAAACCACACTTTTCCTCAAAGAGAGCGTGTCACCTCTGGTTAATGAAAATCTTGTATCTCCATGTCAGATTTTTTAACAGCAAAATAAATTTAAATTTGAAAAAAATACGCTTTTGTGAAGCGTTTTGTGAATCTTTCTTGCATTAAAATGATTCCAGAACAATGTAATGCAACAACATAATGAAATATCGAAGTGGGGCTCCAAGATTTTCACTTGATGGAGTAGATATTCCTGTGAATCTATGCTGCTTCTTGTCATGTTCATCATTGTTTTGTTGTCGTCGTGTATCCCAGTCAGTGCTGCGTGTTTGTGTGCCTGTTGGCAGGGGGAGCAGACGGCTTTACACCGGGCTGCCGTGGTGGGAAACGGTGACGTTATCAGCGCTCTCATCCAGGAAGGTTGCGCACTGGACAGGCAGGACAAGGTGAAAGTCAAAAGACACACAGCACACATACACAAGGGCTGATTGGACCTCTGTCAGGGTCAGTCAGGGAAACACGGGGAATTTTAAGGCCATCATAATGACTGCATTAAAGCATCTGATAGAAACCAGTGGGTCTGTAATCTGCTTAACCTCATTGCCCCATAAAAAGTAGAGTAACGTATTTACAGCCACAGTGAAAACAGAACCAACTGATTCACAAACTTGGAACAATAGAGACCGCTGCCATACACGCATATTTAATGTTGTTTTTGTTGTATTTTATGTTAAAAGTGTTTGCATGCTGAAATGCAGTGCATTAGTAGTGTGTTTTAGTGGATACTTAATGGTGTGTTAGGGAGTGTATAAAAATAATCCAGCCAGTAATACCGTGGCAGATTTAATAAAGCCCTTTTCCCCCATAACTTTTTTACAGTTGCTCACATACAAACGGTTGCTGTTTCTACATAACTATATCCCAACATCCTGTTTATAAGTAGGAAATACACTAAACCAAAGAATTAAAGACTTAAAATCCTACTGAAGACTGGAAAATTTGGAGAATGACTGCGGAAGTGTGTACTAGCTCTGCAGATGCACAGTTGTTTGAAGCAACAGCATTTGTGTATTTTTTAAAATTTTTATTTGTTTATTTATTTTTATGAGCAATTACTATTTGTAGGTGCAAGGTTTGTACATCTGTGCTCTAATATAGCCAAGCACAAATGCAATGCAACACATCAAACAATGACTGTCTTTGTATCTTTAAAATGTGTTAAATTTAAAGTAGAGCTGCATCATTTAATCAATTAGTTGAGAAGTATTACATTGTTTGCCAATTATTTAGATTTTCGTCAATTAATTCAAATACATTTCTTATTTCAGCTTCTTGAATTTGAATCTTTTTCTTCTTTTCGTGCTCATCGATGGCAGCAAACTGAATACCTTGGATTAACTGAGAAAATATTAGACAGATTAATCGACAATGAAAATAATGGTTAGGTGTAACCCTAATTTAAAGATGGTTTGAGTATTTAGCAAGAATTAATTGCTAGAAAAACCCATACTTTATCTTTAAAGTAAAAAAACCTTAGAGACATTAAAACGTTTTGCCACATTTTGTTCGACCTTAAGTTTTATCAAAATATCAGGTAGTATCAGGTTGTATATTTAGAATTTTATAAAGAGACCAAATGCATTGTAGCTTATAACCTAAAACCAGGACTTAAATTGAAACAGCTTTATAACCTCTTATTCTGAGACATCTGCAGGATGTCCAAGTGGAAGCCAGTGGAAATAAATTGATTAAAAAGAACACTAGAGCAACAGAGTGCCTTCTCAATGTAATTCTTCACTAAAGATCTATTTTATGGATTATACACAAAACAAAACCATGTCTTAAAAAATGATAGCATGTTAATGTAAAAAAAAAGCCCAGACACATTACTGGAAAAAATAAATAAATAAATAAAATAAAACAAAATTATGTATGTATGTATGTATGTATGTATGTATGTATGTATGTATGTATGTATGTATGTATGTATGTCTGTGTATGTGTGTGTGTGTGTGTGTGTGTGTGTGTGTGTGTGTGTTCAGCAATGTGTCTGGGTTTTGTCTTCTGTTCTTTTCATCGCAAATTAAATAAAGCATAATAATGCCCACCCCAGGGATGATTTAGTAGCTTAAATAAAAATGTAATTGATGATTTCACTGTAGATTTTTGAGCCAGTTCCATAAATAGCCTAACTTGACTTCTAGAAGCCATTTTGTTGTAAACAGCTGGATGTGAAATGGTCAGCTGTTCCACAGTGTAGAAAAATGAGCCTATTAGCTTGAGGCACTTTTACATGAATGAGCACTAGCCTCAGTAATATAGTTAGCGAGGTAATTATGTACATATGACGCAGCTTCTGTTCTACCCTGAGGTGTACCAGCAGCTGTGTTATCTTTCTATATCCTCACAACCAACATGATTTCATGAGCTTTTCTTAATCTTCATGAGTTGAAGCATCTCCAACATTTGTGTTTACACAGTGTGTGCTGCATCATTCTTATTCTTGATGCGGCCTTTTGTGTTTTTTATCCTGTCAGGATGGAAACACTGCTCTCCATGAGGTGTCGTGGCATGGCTTCAGTCAGTCTGTCAAACTGCTGGTGAAGGCTGGAGCCAACGTTCACGCCAAAAACAAGGTGATTCTACAGAGAGGTTTCCAGCTTTCTTCCCCTATAAACTTTACTTCTTATGTCATTCAGTGCCTCCTTCACCTTTAAGTGAAAATTACTTCAAAATAAAACAATCACAACAGTCACAAGTCATTTAAAGCAAGATTATGAGACTTTTCAAGTAAAAAATCTAAAACTAAATATTATTTCCCCTGTAAATGAAAAATTTCATTCAATATATTGTCACATATATTTGTTTAATTGACATTACTGAGACATTTCACTGCTGTACTGTATTTTAACATGAACTTTTGGTTGCCTTTATCACAAAGTAAAACAAGAATTAAACTCACATTGATACCTGTGTACTGTTTCCTGCCTGTAGTTCACTTGCTCTCAATCAGATCGAACACAGATGATGTCTTCAAAGGAACTCAGTCAAGTGTTAAAAAAAAGTCAGAAAAGTTTTATAGTCACATTTATGAGGCTGAAAAATTGATGAAATTGGTCATCCAAAGAATTACAAGCCTACTTGCTTCTCCTAGAGTTTTTAACTACATTCAAAATAAAAATTTCAGTACCATTTTAACACTATCCACTCCTGAGGAAATCCCGTCTATTGATAAAGACCTTTAGCTGCATTTGACATCTCTGGAAAAATATGTATTTTATGAGCATAGTGGTTTACATTAGAAACAACGTGACTAATAGATTCTATTCAGACCACACCTGATTTCTCAGAGTAGATGCATATCTGTTTTAAACAGTACAAAAAATTTCAGCTCCATTAAAGGTTTAATTCAGGATTAACTGATTTTTTTTTTTGTTGTTGTTGTTGCATCCCTGTATCTTCGTCAATGCAATGTTTCTACTTTGCTCTTACTGCTTTTTTTCATCCTTTTCTCGTTCATTCTTCCTCTTGTCTCATTCATGTTTCTTTTTCCTTTGTGCCTGCAGTTCCTCATATTTCTTGTTCTATCTTCTTCACCGCCTCCATTCTGTCTACTCTCACGTCCTCTTTGTGTCTCAGTGCAGTTTGCTGCAGTAGCGTGATTGTCACATGAACTGTGCTACCAAAATATCCAAACACTGTGAACCAGCATACAATAACAAAAATACATACATGATTTATGTGACAGCAAAAAAAAAAAACCCTCACCCCAGTAAACACTAAAATATGATGCCTCTGACTCTCTCCTTGTGTTTCCAGGCAGGAAACACAGCTCTCCACCTCGCATGTCAGAACGGTCATGCTCAGAGCTCCAAGGTTCTGCTCCTGGGAGGCTCCAGGCCAGACAGCAAGAACCATGTAAGTTTGCAGAAGGGCTGTGTCAATCAGCTGCCAGAGTTAATGAGACAAAAACAGACACGGTGTCAAGTTAAGACATGAAACATCCTTCTCTTATTGGTTATAAAGATAACATATTTAAAAGCTACACGATCATTTTCAGATAATTGGTAAAACGGGTAAGAATGGTCTAGTTCACATTCACTTTGGCTGTAACACCAGGAACAATGTGGATTCATGTAAACTGCCTCTAGTGAATAATACAGCCATGAAGTCCCCTTGTTAAACTGGTGCCATTAAGCTGCATTATTCATTAATATGATAATGACAGTGCGTCTGGGTGTAAAATGGTGTTGCTTGTAGTGACATTTCAGCAGAAACTTATCAGACTCTGAGTTCAAAGAAGCTGCTCTGAATAGAGAGAATTACAATGTTTCTAGCAACAACAAAAAAAAGAGCACCAAACACCAGATAGACAGTTGGGAATTAGTGGTAAACATAGCATTTATTAGGGCTGCAACTAACAATTATTTAGATTAACAACTAGTTTGTTGATCTAATGTCAGAAAATGGTGAAAATGTAGCTTAGTGTGTCATAAAACCAAAGAGATGTCCTGTAATGTGTTGTTTTATCCACAAGCCAAAGATATTCAATTTACCATCACCAGGGAGGAAAAAGACTTTAAAATTTCCAGTTTAAAAGCTGGAACCAGAGAATTTTGACTTTTTCTTTAAAAAAATACTCCAACCAATTAACAGATTACTAAAGTAGTTTGCAATTAATTAAATAGGTTACAACTAATCAATTAATAGTCGCAGCCTGAGCATTTAGCAGCTAGCGAGGCAGATATTTTCCTCAGGAGCTGGTAGGGACAAAAACAGAGCTTAAAAAAATGTATGTAGATTATTTTTCAGGGGGACACAAACTTTGTTTTTGTCTGCGAAATGTTTACATTGGCAGATCTTGTCTTTCAATATGACAACAGTATATATATCAGATGCTTTTGCAGCTTGCTGTGTTGCCCCCATCTGGCTAAGAAATGACTCAGTGCAGCTTCAGAGGTGCATTCACGACCACTGAATGTTACTGGAGCACCAACATTTTAGACTAAAATACACACTGGCGACTCCTCTCCCATGACCCTCGCGTTTTATTTAAAACTGGAAAGGTTGTATACAGGAAAGCTAACAACCAATAGCCTATGATAGCATTTTAAACAATTATTAAACACTAAATGGCCGTAAGGAGTAATTGTCAGCTCAAATAGCGTTGTCTTCACTTTACCTTTCTGTCCTTTGTGTTGCTTGTGTCCACTTCTGTCTGTGTGTTTCACTTTCATCACAACACACACTAGAGGAAACACACATGGTCAAACAGAGAGCAAAGGAGAGCAACAATCCTGAAATGAAATGAGTGCACATAAAGTCCATCCATCCAGTATCGATACACCGCTTAATCCTCACTAGGGTCACGGGGGGCTGGAGACTATCCCAGCCGACTTAGGGCGACGGCAGGGGACACCCTGGACAGGTCGCCAGTCTATCACAGGGCTACTGCACATAAAGTGGAAAACATAAATAAAATGCCTTTTAAACTATCTTTTAGCTGTTTTGCACTCTCATTTTTGCAGTGCTGTGTGGGAGGGCAGTCTCAGTGTGTTTATAAATGCTGGAAGGATCAACAGTTTTAAAGGGAGCTATACAAGTGCACCAACATAGAACAGAGAAGCTCAAGTTACAACACACACAAAGTGACTTCGTTCTCTGCAAAGGATGCCACCACTCCACTATATCTTTATATAGCATATATAAAATCTGTCACGTTGAACCTTTATATATTAAATTTTCAAAAACAAGTGAGACACTGAACAGTCCAGCTTCTTTGAAGGACTTTCTACTTTTATTGGCTCCAAAGTTTGATGTTTATGGATGTCGCATCGAGTCAGCGAACATAGCAATTACTTCATTTTCTTTCTTCATTCCTTTTCTCGTTCTGCTTCTTTGCAAGCTCGCGGTTCCTTGATGTAAAATGCTGTTTGAAAACAAACTTGTATCTTGACTCCTTCTTTACTCGCTTACATTGACCTGCGGCTTTGAAATCCAGGATGACGGTCTGCTCTCTGCTGTGCTCTGCTGCTGCAGCAGTGTTGACACGACACAGCCGTCTCTTAATTATGAAACGCTGCGTGGTACATTTGCACTTCAAACGCAAAACTTCAGCCTCGTGGGGAAACTGTTGTTTCTCAGAATAACACAAATGCAGGAGGAGTTTGTTGTGAGTAGGTCTGAGCAGCAGACGGCCTCAGATGCACTGTTCGTGCTGATTGTTAAAAACTTCACTCATGTGCTGACTCTCAATAAGGAGCCTTCAATATTTAAATGTGGAGCTGGTGGGAGGAGGACTGATGCTCTGAAAGACTATCAGTAACTGGAAGAAAATGGGCCCAAATTCTTTGGTAAAAGTAGACATTTGGGTGGATTTAAAGCTAAATATCATTGCTGGATGTTCTATTACTTATAAATTACATCTGGAATTCAATCATTTACATATAAAAATGAGAAATACCCAGTACAAGAACCATCTGGAATTGCTTTTTTTGTCTGACCAAAAAAAAACTTGTGTTTGCAATTTTAAATTATCCAGTGAAACTATGAAAAACAGCTTTTCTTCCCCCTAATGACCAATTCAATTTAATAATGTAATAATAAGATAATAATAATAACTTCATTTGATCAGCTAATTACTTAATGTTTTCAGGAATATGAGTAATATTTTAAATAGGTCTGTCTTCATACAGTCAGATGAATCCTAAGCCTACACTATGTTTTAGTCCTAAGTCAACTTTAGCTTTACAGCAGAATGTTATTTCTCTGTCTACTAAGACAAAGAAATTCTTTGCATGCAGCCACTTCATTTTATCATTTAATTTTAAAATATATATCATTAAACTGTAATGTTGTCCTAACTGTCTAACAGCAGCCTGTGACACAACATAAGACGCTCATTTATCTTAACCAAACTGATGAAGTCTTTGCTAATGTCAGTTTGTTGGCCAGTCAACTAGTAAGTTGTTGCACATCAACTCAAAGTCTCACCTCCTAAATTTAGCATCAGTCGGTGAAGATGCTGAATGTCATCTGGCTACACTGCTAAAGTTAGGACTGGAAGATTCTGTTTACGTTGTGTCTTGTTTAATTCCATTTTTTTCGGTCTTGATGTAAATGATTAATTCAAATATCTTCATTTTCATCATTATATAGAATTCTACCTGTGGAATACTCTTGTTCATTTCCATATTCAGCTGCTACACATCTTAATGTGACTAAATGCTTCAGTTTTAAATGTCATTTTTGGAAAGTTTCTCATTGTTGTAGCAAAAGATAAATTTGACATGGATGAATTGCATTTGTTATTTGACGATCACAAACCTTGGCATGCCTGTGATTCATAGCACATGATAATAGTGAAACCTCCGACAATATTTAGTCTTATGTAGATTTACTGAAGGGCAGCTCCGACAGCGACCTGACCCTGGTTATGTTTTATTATCATTTTGTTATATGTGATTATGTTGTGACCAAGCACCAAGGTCTGATAATAGCGACACCTGGAGTCTCTGTTATCTGCATGTTGAAGGTGAAGCTGTACTGTTTGAAGGACAGATGCTACTATAAGTCTGCATAGTCTTGTTTGAATCTTGCTCAGACCAACCACAAAATATAAAAGACAAATACTGTTGCACTTTGATTGCTTTCGATACGGCTCATCCAGATTTCCACAACACTCATCAGTGCTTATTTTTTTCCAGGGTGGGGATACGTGTCTGCATGTGGCCGCCCGCTACAACCACATGGCTATGATCCGCATCCTGCTGGGAGCCTTTTGTTCCGTGTCTGAAAAGAACCTGGTGAGTTACTGACCGTCAAGCTACTATGACACGGGACATTCAAGTGGGATCTATTTGCTAAAGTTTACAAAAATGTATGTCTGGCTTGTAAAAGGGACTGATCCATTCTTGGAATCATTTAACAATTTTACTTAATATGGCACACCCAAAATCTTTTTTAAATACTTTATTTATGGTAGATCATGCCAAACCACCCCACAAATAAACAAAAAGCAGCAGAACGTGCTGCCTTCAAAATATAAATGGCATTTTTGCCTCTTTAGTCTTAGTTTCTCTATGGTAAAAACTGTAGTAATTGATAAATTATTATTGGAATGTATTCAGAGTATTTTCCTTCCCTGACGATAAAATACGTTAATCCCAGGTTGACTTGACTTGTATGCTCCAGACAGATAATTGTATTAGTTGCGCTCTCCTGCAAGACAGATCTTTAAACTGCCTCATGCCCAGAGTTCAACAATTCTGTATCAGCATTTGGTTTTTCATTTGGCGTTCGAGCTTCTGGTTAATGCTTAAGATTGAACCCTTAAAGGTTTTTGAATAATTTTCAATAACCCCTCTCACCACCATCCTTTGTCCCTGTGGCTCCACAGGTTGGCGACACTCCGCTACACGTAGCAGCTGCTCTGAATCACAAGAAGACAGTACGTTTGCTGCTGGAGGCTGGAGCAGACAGTCGCATCTGCAACAACGTAAGCCCCCGCGGCCTCGTTTCTACATCATTATGCTCAGAGGAAATGTTTGTGCACTGTGCTTTTCTTCATCTTTAAATCAGCACATATTTCTGTCAGGCATTTCTACAGCAACACTGTCTCTGATTCTATTTAAATCTGCACTGTTCAGCAATATATTGGTGCACGCAATAGATTGCAGCTTGAAAACTGTCTGAATGTGAGTTAACAGAAATCTTCTCATTTTGAGCTGATGCATTACATACAGCACACTCATATTTACTAGATTCTCAGATGCTTTGATACCGAATCAGTACAAATACCAAGATGTAAGCTGTTTATTTCCTACACTATAGGAAGGGTGGGGGTGGAATCAACAGTCAGCGAAAATTTTCATCAGTGTCTACAAATTTTACATTTGTATTGACATAGATGGATTACAGAAGTTTTCTTTTGCAGATTCATTTGAAATTAATGAAAACAGTGTCTACAATTATAGAAGAAATGCAGCTTTTTTTCTTCTTCTTTTTCTTTTTAACCCTGCTAAAAAAGTTGGCTAAAAAAATGCTAAGTGTCTTGTGTTTTTCTGCACATTCTCAACTTGCACAATTTATTTTATTTTTATATTTAAGTCAAAATATCACAAATAAAACATCAGATTGGCGTGGAATGATGCTAGATTTTCATTATGTTTTCAGGTGCGGTTTTGTTGTTGTTTTTTCATTTTACCTGGACTGGAGTTCTTCTGCACCTGTTTCATGACAACTGCATGGAGAATTATCACAATGGACAAAACTCTGTTATGCATATACCGGGAGAGAATGGAAACACACTTTAATTAACATTTGTTCTGCCCATTTTCTCAAAATGGGTTCTGAATTTGCATTGAATCACAATCTTGGCTACAGAGAGAGAGAGAGAGAGAGAGAGAGAGAATTACCTCTACTGTACTATTATAATCAGAATAACATCCATTTGCACAACAACAGCACAATTAGAAATCCCTATATTAAGGACTTCCTGCTCACTAACTTTCCTACAAAAAGCAGCTGCAACGATGATGACTGTTAGAAAAAATTGGGAGCTCACCGAGTCAGTTCTGTCTATTCAGTTTAAAAACCTTGTTGATTACTTAATCCTTAGAGGTCTTGGCCTGTTTTGGTCGTTTTTGCATACTTTTAGTTTTGTCTTTATTTACTACGTAGAAACATGTTTACCATGCCCATGTTTGGTATCTTTTTTTTCAGCACATCACCTATATAATCTGACTATTATTTTTTCACTTTACCGACAATATTAACATTTTGGGCTCAAAAACACACAAAAAATACAAAATCAGATTTGAAAAAACATTTTTTTTATTACAATAAAAACCACAAACATACTTAACAAAGCATTTTGAAGATTGAAAATATATAATATAATAACCATAGGTTACAGATATGAATTTAAAAAGGTAAATTTGATATAAAATCAAACTAAATAGAAATATATGCAACTATATACAAAGCAGGTGTGGCTTTCTTTCTGTTTTTATCTATGCCACTGGCACTCAGCTCTTAAGTCTCTTAGAACCAACAACAAATCTGTCTGGTGTGTCTTACAGTTACGACTAAAATGTGAGTCTTGTTGCTACTGCACGGTTGTGGAACCAGCTGCTGTTACATAATAGATTTGCTCACTCTGTCTCTTTTTTTTTTAATCTACACACATTTTTATTCACTGGGGTTGTTGGACCACTAATCCTTCAATCTGTTGTCTGTTATTCTGCATTTGTCTCTTGTCATCTGTGATGTTATTGGTATGTCTGTCTTTGTGTTTTTTGGTTTTTACTTGATGTGTAAGCTGTCTTTAAATGTGCCCAAGACATAAACTTCACTCACTTACTGTACACAAGAAACACAAAGACAGTGTTTAGATGCATACAACTTGGAGGCTATTTTGCAAAGCCTCTGTTTTGGGGAGAACAATGTATTTTAAGTTTGGACAGAGGGCTGGAAGGGAGAGAAATAGACACACAATCAAGACAGACAAAACATACCTGCCGTGTCCTCATTAAGCTGCTTTGATTTGGAAATGCATTTGTGTGTTTCTGCAGGCAGGTCAAACAGCTTTGGACCAGGCCAGAGAACACAACAACCCCGATGTGGCTCTTCTCCTGACCAAAGCTCCACAGGTAAACTCCCAGCCTGACCAGTGCAAGGGTTCATAAACAAAACATCACCCCTTAAAACTGTAACTGTCATCCAAATAACCGAAGTATACGGCAGTATTTCTTACACATTGCATCAGATAATATTGACACCACAGGTGATGATGTAGCGTTGCATCAGCTTTGACTTTCAGCTCTATAAGCAAACTCTGCAAGAGTTGAAGTCATCCTTTGCTTGTGTCAGGATGATGCCTGGCAAACTTTTCATTTTGTCTTCCATTTAAAATGAGAAACTAAAACAACTTAAGCACTTGTGAACCATGCTGGGTTTACCAAAACCATTGCGTAAAGGTTGCAAATTGTCATTTTGACATATCTTTAGAGTGCCAGTCAGATTGTTAGCTTAACCATTAATACATATATAATTTTTTGCTATGCCACTCATTAATTTAACATGTAAGCATCATGAATAAAGAAAAAGTGAGTAAAATAAATCGAATTTGATGCACATTTGATGCTGCTTTTCATAGTATGATATGAAATATGTAACATGTATTGTTTTTCTTTTCATGGTTTTATTTGTCTTTTTATTCTATATGTCTGCTCATTTTCCTATATTACACTGCCAAACATTTACATTTCTTGCTATGACCACTGGCATGTGAGTCCATGGTCAGAGCTGTGGGTAAAGTAATTTATTGTATTTAATGCTTTATTGCATTTGCCATAAATATGTAGCTGTTCTCAATCTGTTGTAAATGATCAAAGATTTTTTTGACCACCTTGTTAAATTAGGCATATCGTTCAGTAGAACAGAGAAAACCTTGCTCTGCTCTTGAAATATGCATCACAATACCAGAAAATACAACAGTATGGACAATGTATGGACTATCAGTAATGCTTGGATAAATACGATAATTAACTGGAAAGGTGATCTAACATAATGTCTGTTGTTTGGCAGGTAAAGAAAAGTTTTACCAGAATACAAATATCCCCAAAAAGAAATATTGCACACATACTGAACTGCACGGGAGGTTCTGCAGTTATAAAATAAATGCATCTTAGACAAACAGAGCCTTGGGATGGTAATTTTGTTTATTTATTTTAAAAAGCTTTTGTCCAAGTGTCACAATTCCATAAATTGATCTCATAATTTTAGGTGAAAATCTGACTACGTTTGGTTGCAGTGGAAACACTGTGTTAATCACATATTCATAGTGTTTTTCTAATTACTTTCAGATTACTACTGACAACTCCTTAAAGCTACTACTTAAGCTGTGCTCACAGAAAGAGCAATTTGATTAGTGGTAATTGCAGGTGGGGACATTAAAACTAGGTAGAAATTTGTCTTTGAAGAATTCACATCCTTTTTTTTCTTTTCTTTTTTCTTTTTTTTAACCTGGACAGTAAACTCTTGCTTAATTGTGACCCGCAGTGTGTGCATATATAAAATGAACATTTGCAGTGCTGTCTTGTTTTGTCCATTTATCCTTCACGATGATTTCAGTTTAATTCCAGGAATTTTATCTCCCTGTGTTTGTTCAGGTGCAGAGTTTTGTGCGAGGCAGGAGTGTGAGGAAGAGGAGAGACAAGCTGAAGGCAGAAGGCAGAGCTCAGTCGGTGCCCAGAGACGAGATGTTACCCTGTAAGGTAAATACTGGACCTATTTGTCAAAATAATAAATGCAGAATTTAGCAAAAATATGAAAAAAAAAAACTACGAAAATCAGTGTGGAGGAGAGGTGAACACAGAGGGTTGTGGAGTGAGCGTACTTAGGAAAAGAGTCTTTAGTTTCCAGCAATGAAGTAAGAGCAGAATGAGTTTGTCTCTTCTTTCGAACTGATCCAGCGTATTGCCTAACTACGCTGCAATTCATCCTGATTTAACAGAATGTAAGCATACAAACTGATTTCCTGTGGTAACCCACAAATGCACAATAGTAACACCTTAGCTTGTATTATCTTGCATTTTGATTATATGTAAATGCTCAAGCCTAAAGGGTATTAGTTGTTCTTTTTATTCATCCACCTGAACCCCAAAACCTGCTGGTGGGTTTGTAAGGCATTTGTTTTTTTTTTTTTTACAAAATCACAGAAACTACATCATTTGTCAGAGCCAGCAGCTGTATAAACAAAAAAAGAACTGCTATATTTTGAACTTTAAGATGATGCTTGAACATGCATTTTTGAGATCTCTCTACTTCTAGCCATGGTTGCGCTGCTTCCATAGTGGTGCAGGTCTTTATATTGTAGTAAAAATGTAATAGAAGCAGAAAAAACTCTTGAGGGTCAGAGGGTTAACACTGATTCTTTGTAGATTTACTGAAAGAAGTATTAATGCTTTGACCAAATTCCACAGTTGCTATTTAGTTGTTTTATTTTGACTTTTAGTCAGTTTCTGACTAAAAAGAATAAGTTTCTGTTGGAGACAGACTGTAATTTTATGCAACCGTCAGCAGTTGTGTTTTGTACAAAGGGTACAAATCTCTGTGCTTGAAGCTTCTGTACCAAATCCTCTGCCTTTTTCCTGGGAGTGTCCTCTCTGTAAACAGGAAACAGGTCCTCTCACCCACCAGCTGCCCAAAGTGGAAACCTCTCTGGTCACTCATATTTGATTACTTATCAAAAACTTTCAACCCCGCCCCCCAAAAAGCCTCACCCCACTAGTTTGTTTGTGTGCATATTTTTGTTTTGGTATATTTCTGACAAATGTGGATGTTTCCTGCCTGGACCTACGGGCTCACCTTGTTTAGTTTGACAGGGAAGAAACATCAATTTAAATACATGCATTATATCCAGTGTGCATGAACTTCATTCCCCTTTTCTAAGGTTAGAAAAAGCATCTTGTTTCACACTCCAGGACTCTACATATATTGTGTTTACATTGTGTGATTTTCAAAGCCAACACTTCACTTTAACGCCTAAGATATTTTAGATGCTTTATGCATTGTTTTCGACACAAAATACATGTTTGTTGAAACCTTAACATTCGCTGAGGATCTTTCTCACTTAAATTTTTACGATTTTTCAATTTCCTGAGTGGTAAAACATCCAAAAACATCCAGGAAACCGCTGTGTTGAACTTTCCCTCTTCCTGCTTCCTGCAGGACAGTGCATCTGCTGCAGACGACACCCAGAGCAGCGACCGAGCTGCATGCAAACACACAGAGGTGACCGAGTCAAACACCAGGAGGGGAAAGAACAGGAAGCAGAGAGAAAAGGTAGGATCCTGAATTTAAGGATGGAGGATATTTATGCACAGGGGAGAACAATGAGCAGACTTGTATCCTGTATCATCAAATGAAAGAATTGTAATAATTGCTAACCTCAGGTGGTGTTGCTGTTGCAGCCGTCTCTGTCCGACCCTCTCCGCCGCAGAGAGACCAAGCACAACGAAGCCCTTCACAAGAGGAAAGGTAAACTGCGAGGACTCTCCCCTCACCCAGCCATCCCTCCGCACAACTACAAAGCCTATCAGCTCTACACACTGTACCGAGGCAAAGATGGCAAGATCATGCAGGTAGGACGACAAACTGACCCCTGTTCAGTCAAGACTATTATTCACGTAGTTTAGTTGTACTTCTTATTTAGTATAATTCTTATCCAGTACATGTTTCAGTACAGTAAATATAAACTGCTGGATGTGTTGCAGGCTCCGCTGAATGGCTGCCGCTGTGAACCTCTCATCAATAAACTGGAAAACCAGCTGGAAGCCACCAAGGAGGAGATGAAGACTGAGATCAACACCGTCCAAGACCTGATGAACTGCAAGATGGGCCAGATGGATCGCAAGAACAAACACCAGGTAACGTGCACATATTTACACACTGCAGCTCGTTGCACCCTGCTTCACTGAGGATAGGACACATTTACTCCAAGACTCCTGCACTGCCTCATTTTTTTTTTTAGCTTTCTTTTGTGACAGTTTAGCTACTCTACCATTGCCTCCAAAGATTTATTTTTTTCACCACCCATTACACTTTGTACTAAAACATGAATGAGCAAACCCATTTTCTGCACATTTTTAAGGACATTGAAATTTCGGGCTATTATCAACAATTTTCCAGAAACTAATAGAGATGAGCTTGAAATTTTAACTGTTTCTTATGGTACCATTGATTCAGACTCTGAAACATTAATCTCTATTAATGGGTGTGTTGAAATATGAGGAAAGGTATTTCATATTAAAAAGTATTATATGTTTTGTTTTATTGTAACACGCAACTGCATATCGTTCAGAAATAAACAATAGTTGACTTCTCGGTTAACAATTGTTTTGTTAATGTGTGCTCAAAGATGGGACTTTCACTGATGACATCATTATTTCTCACATTTCAACTCATCTATAATCAGAGACTGTTTGATCTACTTGTCTGCTGTTGCAGATTCTGGATCCTTGATGCAAAGCAGTCAAAATTCCAGGCTTTTATCTGTTATAGTTCCAGAGATATTGTCTTTCAATGTCTTTCAAACAAAGCTTGAAATTTCAAAGCCAAAAGAAAACACATTGAAGTGGATCGACAGGTATTAAAAAAAAAAAAAAAAAAAAAAAAAGATATCTTGAAAAGTATATGAAAAATTTTGCTAAAATTCCACAAATATCTTTATACATGTTCATACTTTTCAGGCAAATCAAAGAGATCAGAAATTGTTATAAAAATTTGATGATTTGAGATAGAATGACCCATGTAGTGACTTTTAAATTTATTTTTCAGCTTATATTAAAATGAAAGAAGTCCATTTTGTCAGATCTTGTACTCGAACCAAAGTTTAAATAAACCACTTTGGACTTGTGTATGTGAAGCATTTCAAGGTAGCAAAATCAGTGTTAACTGGCCATAAATACTCTTCTAGGACTAGTTGTCAAAAAAAAAAAAAAAGAAAAAAAGAAGCCCTAGTTAACAAGTAAAACTCCATCAGGAGTAGTTCTTCCGCTGAAAGTAAGCATAGGTAGGACTGTTGGTGAAGTTTTAACTAGATATACTCGCTGTGAACACCTTAATCAGTCCAGAAATGGTCTCTAGCATGACATGGAGTTCACATAGCATCTAATAAAGCTTTCTCACCGTGACTCTGCATGGCTCAACAGAGACAGAACCGCTCTGGTGTGACTGAAAAGGCTGTGGAACATGTGCAGGGGCTTCGTCTCCCCCTGGAGCCACCCACATGCATAATGCACACTCACACAGTCCTGTACGATGCTTCAGATAAGAGCCTCTATCAGATTGCAGAGTTGTTCATGCATGTAGTCACTGCGTCACTGTTGCCTGAGAAAACACAACAGTGGATGTAAGCAGGAATGCATAATCAATGAGATCAGAACAACAACAGAAGCAGGTATGCCATCCCCAAAGTTAAACACTGGAGTGGAAAGTTAAACAAGTCTTAGGCTGAGAGACTGGAAGCTGCAGCTGACTGGGCCGCGGTAGCAAATGTTCATTTAAAACAGGTAAATAGTAGTGAAAAGAGAATACTGATATTTAACGGTATGCAAAGTCTTGTGTCCATCACCAACAAATAATATTCCTACTGGCTAATAAACAGAAGTAACAAACAACAAAGCTGACAGTGTCTTTGAATATAGGCAGCATGTAGGCCTAACGTGTGGATTTTGTCGTCCATAACAATAGAAAAATCTTCATTTAAACTGTGACATCTACAATACATTGGACTGTGTCTACTTTTGATCTTTTAGTGCAGCCTCCCCTTTGAATCTACTTGCACAGTGAATGAGAAAAAAAACACCTTCTGTTGAGCATGTCAGGCAGAACATGGAGAGGAGCAGAAATAACAAACCAGAAGGTCCTTTGATGCTGCTGGCCCTGCCTCCCTGTCATCTGTTGTGATTTTTTTTTTTTGCCATAAGATCCGAGCTCTTGATAAGATGACTGTGGAGAGGGTATCAGCGGAGAGGAGCGAGTGTCTGCAGAGGATCGAGCAGCGAGCCCTGCAGGAGCGACTGGAGGCAGAGAAGAGACAGGTAACACCAGCAGCAGTCAGCCCGCTCAGCAGCGCAACTCCGACTGTGGAAACCCGTTCTATCCTGAATATTATTCCAAATAGCATCAGTAAATGTAACAGGAAGGAACAAGACTTACATCTTGGAGTGTGTATACTGATTTTAAATCTGCTGCTGCATGAGGCCATCACAGAGTGTAAGAGCTATTTGTTCCTGAAGGAACAAAATAGATGGGAGGACATGGCCAGTTAATCTCCTACAGGACCATAGAGCAGGAGTTTGTTGCTGATTTTGTATATTGCACATGTCACTTTGCTTATTTTCCTCAAACCAACCAGTGCTTTAGAGATGGAATGATGACAGAAAACTGGCAACACTTTTGATAGCTGATTTATCATTTATAGCATTTTGTTTTTCAGCCAAAATGCCAAATATTCTTTCGTCTTCTGTGATAGTAAACTCCACATCTTTCGGGTTATTCATTGTTGCGCAGACAAAATTAGTAGTCATTTCTGACATAATCAATGAACAGGTAATCAAATATTAAAGGAAACTATCAGTTGTTGATTTAAAAAAAAAAAAAAAAAGCTATATGTGGTTGTGGCTTTATATTTCTTACTGTGATGGACTAATGCTACCTTGCCTAAACAAATCTGATATGTTGACAGTAGTTCCTTCAGTAACATACCTGTTCCATGTGATTCTGTCATTTAAGCAGGCGTCTCTGGCCAGTGAGCTCAAGAGCTGGTGTCTGTCCAAACTGCAGAACATGGAGTTTCGCTTCACAGGGGACCCTGGCAGCACCAAGCTGCAGCGCTCCTCCTCAGCATCTGAGGGTCTGAACGAAGTGGACGGAGCCGGCCTCACAGTGCTGCCCGCTGGACAGGGAGGTAGCTCCCAGGGCCTGGAGCTCCACAACAGCCCCACACTCCTGGAGTCCTGCCGGGGGGAGTCCAGCCAGGGGGAACCCAGCCTGGCAGAGGGCGGATCATCCAACCACTACTTTGTGGTTCATGTGGAGAGTTCGCCAGGTATTAAATCAAGAAACCTCTGAACAGTTTCCTCATGGACTAGTAGACAGAGTTATTGCCTCGTCTATTGCTCCTCTTTCCAAATCAGTGATTAGTGAAGTTACAGACAAGAAATGAATGCTAAAATAGACTGTAATTATCTCCAAATGGCTCATAGGTGACTAATAAAGAACCCCCACCATTTAATTTTCTAACTTTCTAACCCTCTCCCTTGTTTAACCTCAGCTTTGGTCATTGTTATTACAAGCACGTGCGTATATTTAGATACGTAGTTGAAGTACACTGTACTGGATGGTAGCCTTACTCAACTAAAGATTTTTAGTGTTGCATAGTCACGCATTTATCTAAAAAGGTTTGCAATAATTCTAAATTTAGTTTAAAATTGTCAAACATTAAGATTGACAGTAGCAAATGTCTTGAGTGATTGAAGTCAAATTTCAGCTTTTCCAGTTTTGCTGCAGTCATGAATAATGCAGGCAACATTGTTGTTATTCTCATCTTGTACACAGTCAAATTAACCCTGATAAATCTCCTTCCTGTCACAGAGCTCTGTTGTAAACATCAATGAGCTGCACTAATGCACAGTCGTACATATTCCTACTCACTGTAGCTTCCCACACACACTGTCCTGCTTCTCCAAAGACCCACTAAAGGACCAAATGTAGATTAATCCACTGCTGTCCTCAACAAATTCTGTTGAGCATTTATATATGTGGGTCCTGATTTTATAGATGTCTGAATTAATGGGTTGAGGATGAGAGACACTAACAGAATAGTGAAGTTGCAGTAGGTTGGTTGTTAGTTGACAACAAGAAAAATCTAGAACATCAGCTGTGTCCTTTGTATGTGTTGTGTAATTTATTTATTTAGTTGCTACATGTTCATTGTTCATTAAGAGATCAACGTCTTTGCACCATAACCTGAGTGTTCTCCTGTTCATATTAGCTCGCAACAGGTACAGAATTATGTACTCAGTGCTGGAAGACAAAAACATGACACAGAGTTGCCTGCAGGATGTTTAGTTTCAGAGTTATAGTGCTAATTAGCATCAGGATGACCAGTGGTTACAATGTGACTGAATCTCTTTTAAACTCGAAACAGATGGTGATAAGGCTCATAATGCAGAGGTCACCTCTCCTGCGGCAGCAAAGAGCCCACTGTCATCTATCCAGGTGGTTCGGCCGAAGGAACGCTCCGTGATCTGCACTGACACCCAGAGGAAGAACCAGGAACTGCAGGATGGCGACACAGTGGAATACAGGGCGAAAGGAGGCAGGATCCACAGAGCCAGCAGCTTGTCTCCAGCCACAGAGCGCCGCTTCAGCAGCAAGAACGATGCGGTACTCAGAGAGAGGGAGCGAGGCCGCGACAGAGGGAAGCACCACAGGAAGCACTCCCACGGCAGGACTAAGTCCAGAGGGGCCACAGGGGTCAGGACTCTGGAGGTGTTTGGAGAACCGCCCAGTGGGCCCTCCTTTGCTCAGGAGAGGGACAACATGCACGCCCTGGAGGTGACCCAGTACTTTTTCGAGGCTGTGTCGACGCAGATGGAGCGCTGGTACGAGAGGAAGGTCCAGGAGGCTCGCTGGCAGGCCGACCAGAGGGCTCAGGCCGACAGAGCTGCTCTGATCGAGAGGATCACCTACCTGGAGGACGAGCTGCGCATGCTGAGAACTAACAGACACGACGACTGCTAACACACACCTCATCCACTGTGCATAAAAAAGCTGCCAAAACCTACGTGGGGTTATATTTTAACAGCCACAACAAAAATCCTTCTGCAGAATTCAGTGTGGACGGGTGGATCACTGAATCACACAATGGAACACATCTGTTTCAGTTTAACAAGCGCCAAAAAATGTTCCACTTTTACACCACTTGCTCTGTTGGTTGTCATGGTAGCACTGGCCTGTTATGTTGATGTGTACATACAGTTCTTTAGTAACAAGGGCAGCTCTCACACTGTGTTGTAAATAAACCTGCTAAGGTAGATGTTAAAAAAATAAAAATAAAATGGAACATGCTATTTATAGGATAGATTCACTCCATCACACCAGACAAGTGCACACGCATTATAAAGTTAACCCCACGAGACTCTGCATTGTAACACCGTGAGCTACATGTTTCATAATTAAAGTACACTGTGGATCATAGTGAAAGCTGTCAGCAAAATAAGCTTTGTGTTGGTATGTGCATGACAGAATCAACCCTGTGAATTTAGAGGAACGACCTACTTACTTACTCATGAGAATGTAGCTTAACTGACACTGTATGTTAAACCCTACTGAAGGCTTTTCTTGGACTGCATCAATAACTGATTTTGCTGCATGGTGTATTTGTACGGAAAGCTGGAGTATGTCCACAAGAATTAGACTTGTACAGTAGCTATTTTGTTTGTTGCAGTTATAGTATAAATACATGAAACATTTTTGCAAAAAGGGCTGACTTTAGTGTATTATAATTTAACAGTGTAGATGTTTATAATAATTCTAGTGGCACACTCCAGGATACCTCCACAGATTTGAGATGACATTAGGAGCTCCCCCAAAGTCCTCAAGTTTCATTAGCAGTCAAAGAATGAAATACCTGCTCTCACTGCCAGCCACGCCAGCTTTACGGAAGCACTCAGCTCCGACTGTGTAAGTGTTTACAGCCCAATGCAACAGACAATAAGGTAAAGAAGACTCTCCAGACTTGCTGTTTTACACAGAAAACAATGCCACTGTAAGCACATGTCCACTTCTCCTGTTTGTCAACAGCAAACAAGCCAAATTCTGCTCTGAACAGCTAACTCCCTGCCAATCCTGTGTACCTGTAAAGGTCAACCCTGACATTAAAGCTGAATTCTGTTAGAACACGTTGCATGAAGAAAGCTCAGTTGCAGTATTACTGTCTGCTGTATTGCTGTTCCATGGATACGAATAATGCACTCTGTTTGATGATGCCAGAAAACATATTTTGTATTAAAAAATGATCATTCTGCCTGTGGTTTCTCAGTTAATTTTAATACACATTATAAACATATATACACAATACCAACACTGATGTGGCAGATGGGCTCAGTGAGCCTCACAAGTCGTCTCCATCATCACCGCTGTGCCACACAATACGCAGGATGATGCCTCCCGGTCACCATCATCCATCCTGGAGCCCAGCCAAAGACCCGTCACAACAGTGAGAGGAACCTCTGTTTCCATGGTTACCTCAGCACGTAGAGTCCACACAGACCACATGATGGCCTTCATTGAGAACTAGTCTAGATCAGTCCGCAGCAGGGACTCGAGCAGCTTGTTAACTTCTAGCCAACGCCAGAGACTTCTGCAGCTCCTCCAGATGGTTGTTGGCTTGTGTGATCATCATGCGGATGGCATCCTGAAGCAATAACAAGAGGACAGACTGAAATAGTAGGCAAAGCAGAGCAGGCTGGGAAAAATACATCCAAAAAAAGTATAGCTCAAGGTTCAATTGCTTACTTTGAAATGAATCACATTTTAGTCTTGACAAGGGCTGAACAATGAATTGATTTTGAAATGAAATTTGAAACAATGCAATTAGGAAATCACAAAAGCTGCAATTTCTGATATATAAGGTGTGATATTAATTAGACTAATGCATGTATTCCATTTTATTTACTTTGATTGAAATGTTCAGAAGTTATTTAATCTGGCCCACTGATCACTGTATACTATAAGATTCAGGCACGCTGTGTATAGCTGACATTAGACCAGTCTTGGTATTTACTAAATACAACTCCTAAATTTTGCAGCACGTCTGATGCAGAATCTAAACTTTCATGTCAATGGCTTTACAAATGCCTGCTGTCATCCCGATGTGACAGTTTTGCTTTTGATGGTATTTAATTTAGTAATGCTACATCGTCTATTTTCTACCTCTTATACCATTAATATAAAAGTGAAACTTGACTTCAAAAACCTGAATCGCAAATCAAATTGCAGCGTCTGTCAGATAGTAGACATTTTTCAGAAATGTTTCAGTCCTAATCATGACTAGTTCCAATTAGCTTCCCTTTTTAAAGACTTTCTAGACATGAAAGTCATCAATCAGGACCATCTTCTTGAATGATAGGACAAATGTCTTAGACACTTTTCACATATTTTGATTACCATGGTCCTGTTTTGACGGCGTCATACATACTTTGCTCTATCCAGCAGACATTGTAAGGCAGTTCTAAGTAACTTGGTTTCGTAATATAAAGGCCAGCACATTGATGCTTTTTCTTTACCTGTTCTGTGGCGTTTTTATTCCTTTTGAACTCGTCTCTGGCCCAATCTCTCAGGTACTTCCTATCTGTCTCATCCGGTACCTGTCGTATGGTCTTCAGCATGTTTCTGTAAATCCCCAAAACCTTCTGCCGCTGTAGAAACTGAGGAAAGCATCTACAATTAGGACCCAACATGATGGTTAACACAAGTTTATGCAATTCAATATCACACTAAAAGTAATGAGATTTTAGTGATTTTACTCAGCTGATAGCGCCAATAAAGCCTGTTCATGAATAACATCTGTATATTTAGTGATTTATTTGAATCTGATGACTACCATCAACTTCACCTCCACACTCAAGTACAGCTGAGCCCAAAATTATTCATACCTATGACAACTTTTGATTTATAGTGAATTTATGGCAAGATCAAGTGACAAAAAAAAACAAAAACCAAACCAGATCTCTGTGTACAAACAACTCCATCTCATCTGACTGCAAAATCGTTGACCAAATGCTTTTCTAGATGAGGTTTTGTGTGAACGTCTTGAAGTAGTGGAATTCCCTGTGGTTGGTACACATGGACACCAGCCTTGTGCATAGTTTGCTGAAGTGGTGGTCTTTGGCTACTTGTTGGCCTCTCCGACCACCATTCTTGCCAGAGGAGGGCTCGTTTTAGGCTTCCTACCGCATTCTGGGATTTTTTTTTTACAGCGTGAAACCCCTTTTAAAACACTTGGATATGGCTTTATAGCCTTTCCTAGTCTTGTGAGCAGCAGCAATGTGCAATTCTCTCTAAGTGATGAACCCTGATAGCAGCCTACTGAGATAACTGATTGTAGCCATGACTAGCAATTGATGAGTAACTGACTAGAGAGCTACTGCATTAGCTTTCCTCAATGTCCCTAACTTGTGTTTTTACGACACAACTTAATTTCAACGACTATAAATACTTATGGAACATGGCATTCTTAGTTTAAAAAAAAAAAAAAAAAGACATGATATGACAAGACAACTGATTATTAGCACTAATAACACAATGTCGTCTTGATTTTGCTACTTGTTTAGGTCATTTCTCGGTAGAAAAAACCCTATTGGTCAAATAAAAATTCAGTATAAATCAGAAGTTGGCATGGGTGTGAATAATTTTGGGTTTAAGTGTATCTTAAATATGAATGATTAATTCAGCATTATCATTTAAAAGCCCAAGTTTCAAAACATGCTCCTTTGATCAGTAGACATCTCTAGACTTTTCTGCCCATATGGTTAAAAACAATAAATCCACTGAATTACAAAAAAAAAAACTAATTTTTTGAAAAGACTCTCAAGTTGCACCCTTGTTTCTGCACCAAAACAAACATGGCCGCCCACCGACTACCTGAAAGACACAACTAAGAAAAATGGTTTAAACTTGTACTCTTTGTGCAGCATATGAAATGAATTGTTCCCAGAGTAAAAAGGAGCCTTTAAAGATTCTGTGAATGCTCTTAGAGCAGCGGTAAGCATTTTTATAGGACTTTTAAAGAGGAAGCAATGACCCAAACGTTTGCTAATACAAGAGATGAAAGAACAGGTGCTAGCTAGCAGTACTGTATATATTAGCTACCGAGCTAATACCGTTAGCTGTTAGCCTGTCAACAACCCATGTGTTACCGGTTTAGTATTTACCTTGCGGGTGTACGTATTTACCTGTTTTAAGGAAAGCGCTGCCGTAGGTAACCTTGACACCGTCATCTCTGTCAGATTGTGAAACAACTCAGTACAGGAGCCTCACGGGCTGATGTTGTGCTGGAGCTCAGAGCGTTTGACCCGGTGCTTGTCTCCCCCTGGTGGACGGAGGACCGCAGCACACTACAGGACTGCAGCTACCTGCAGGTGCAGGGGCCTGATTCTGGATCACTGGGACATTTCATAAATTAAGACATTATTCATGACCTAAATTACACCCCTGTTTTTGCACACTTGTGACTTCTTCCTTATAATGCACATTATAATTATCTGCACATTGATGAAAGTACAAGTTGTACTGTCACTAAATAGCACAAATGGCCGTTCACTGTCAAGTGATAAGACTTAGATCTGACATATTCTTCAGAGATGTACATATAGTACACCTAAATAATTGTGTTGCAACTGAATACTAAGCAGGCTAAAATTTCCTTTAACCTTGTGTTTGGTGATCTGAAATGCTAAAACAAGTTTTACTATTTTTCTCTGTGCAGGTTGTCAGTGTTCAGTCAAACGCTTTCAGTAGAGGACAACCGGACTTTGCGTTATGGTTTTTGAAGACAGTTTAGCTTTAATCCAAGAGGCTTCTTCAGTTCTGAATGACTGATGTGGAGATCCAGTTTTTTTACAGTCTTAAGACTGCATTATAAATACCTGACAAATGGTGTTGTGGATCCCCTCCTCCTGTTTCCAGACTGCTGTTTCACTTTAACATAGATGGTTCTTGAACTCCTCTCTCAATAGATGTCTTCTCTGTCCAGAATGTGAGCTTTTGTCCTGCTCTATATAAAAAGTTCAGGCATAAAAGTTTATTGGATATGAAAATTAAGGGTTGATTAATTGTCAGATCCTATATTCAGCATTTATTTCTATTACATGTACTGTTATGTTTTAAAACAATTTCCCAAAAACTAAACTAATTCAAAAATATATTACTGTAGTTCTAAAGCAGCTATGTAAAATATATGTACACTGTATATAAGATGTAAATAATTTGTATTGGACTTATTCTAAAGTTTGAAATGAAGATTTTAATTTAAATGCAAATGCCCTAAAAAAAAAAAAAGAAGGTATAAATCGACTCCCAATAAAAGTTTTGGTGTTAAAATGGAACACAGAGCAGTTTAAGGACTTTCCTCCAGTGTTCGATTTATGCTTAGATAATGTCTGAGATAGACGACAGAGCAACCTTGTAAACCATTTATTGTCAGGATCATTCACGTCATGATTTAACAGGCAGATGCAAACAACCTCTTAAATACGACCCATATGTCTGCTAACATGTATGTTCACGTAACAAAACACGTTTCAACGCTTCATGTCTTCAACACGTTCTCCTAAGAGACACAGTGATGAGCTGTGTCGCACTATGGATTCAAAATGAACATAGCAGATGTTTCTTTAAGACCACAAAAAAAAGGGGTTCTACTGGCACCTTTATCAAAACTGGACTCTGCAGCCGCTGTGCTTCAAAGTGCATGAGATGTGAATCTGTAAAAATCCTGACAGAGCTGTGACTGCGCCTCTGATCCGTCACCACGACGGCTGGTTCAGGTGTGAAGTGAGATGCAACACTGTTCTCTCCAAGGCACATTTTATGAGTTCCTGTAAAAGTCAGTCACAACATGCTACTGCTCAGTCAAGGTGTTGGGAAGCTCAGTCCTGCGGCTCTGCGCATCTGCTGCTGCGTTCACACTTAAAATGGATGATTTGATGATGTTCATAACACTGACTAAAACATCCAAACGTGAATCGGGGCTTATCATACATGGGGAGGGGGGACAGAGGTATTTACTGACACTTCACTGACGCGTTTCATACGCAGGGAAATCACATTTTTGTTCCTATTATTTCATCTCAGACGTGCAAGTTAAAGCAATCCTTGTTACATTACAAAAGAAACTGAATTCCCCTGATAAAGACAAAACAGCAAAGGTCGCTATCAAACTACTAAAATCTACAGTAAAAATAAGAAAATAAAGGCACATGTACAGCGGCGAGTCTCTCTTGTTTGTTTCAGTCTTGTTTTTCAGCTGAGAGGCTAGCAGCAGAATGGCATTGTGCAGTTGGCTGCTGCCCTTTTTTTTTTTTCCTTCCTTCCTGTAAAAGTTGGCTTCCCATTGGTCTTATTGGTCAGCTGACGTGACGAGTTCAAACCACTGCCTGAGAGCGTCACTCAGGGTCTCCGGCAAGGCGTTGACATCTCGTAGGATGACGTAGAAGGGGAATGGGAACTCGTCCATGTAGGAGCGGATCTCTGGCATTTCTCCCGGTCCTTTGAATATGGGCACCTTGATGTCCAGGATGGAGTCCTGCAGCAGAGCACCGGGGTTCAGTTACGCTTTGTGTCTGGAGATTTAGAACATTTTTTTTAAAAGTTCGAATTGTTCTCCTCTTACCCGTGAGTTGGGGTTGTCCAGCACCACGAACATGACGAAGACGTTGGCGCCGCGTGCTGCTCGCACAGCTGCCATCACTCGCTCCTTCCCCTCCAGGAACAAACCTCTGCCGTCAGACACGATGACCAGCAGCTGAGCTGTCTCTGTGGAGGGACGTCACAGGTTGGTTTATAGCATCTGCTTCAGGTGGCTGATGAAATAGGCTTGTTTGCAGGAACCACATGTTCTCTTTTTATTGTAATTTTTAGCACGACATACAGTGCAGTGCATTTTATTTTTTTTTTATTTAGATTTTGCATTAGAAGAAGTCAGTTTTTCTTCCTCCAGATTCCAGCTGCTTTCATATTTGGCAGTTTAGACTGTCAACTGTTAAAGCAGCATTTGTAGAATAAAAATATGTATTAGAGAGAAAAAATAAAGGAAAGGAGTGAAAAATGAATAAAGTAGGAGTGTGACTTGAGAGAGATCGATGGAATAAATAACATTATTGCATTAATGGTGCCAATGCAAGGCTCAACTTCAGCCTCAGTGCAAAGTAGTGACAGTGACTTCCACAGAAGTGTCTACAGATTGTGAAAAAAACCTTCAACTACCAGATTTACTACACAGTTCTATGAGTCCAACCTCAGCTCTCTGCAGCTACCCAAAAGCAACTTGCTGTGACTGCAGGCAGAACACCAGCAATTTAGGGTGGATCTCTGAGGACACCCAACACGAGGTCACCATGCACTGACACAAAACTATGGTCAGCAAAACCAGCCCCTCTCCTAACTCTGATTCAACATCCTTGATTCTTCTCCTCACCTGAGACACGAGCAGAGAGGAGTTGACATCACACATAATGAGAAATCCTTGCTTCAGAAACATCAAATCTATGAAATATTACGTGCTGTACAACTGCATCATCTGTCCATTCTTTTGCTCCAGCCTACATTGTATCTAATGATCTGAGGTGATGATGTGGCATCCTTGCTCATAGCTCTTACAGGAAACCTCCTCTTTCTTCATAAATGCTCTTTCAGAATCGAAAAATCCTGCTAAGACTGATTTCTTGGTCACACACAGGAGGACGGAGAAGACGAGGCTCAAAAGAGAAAAATGAGCCTTTAGGGTAAGGTCTAGTCTCTGAACTCCCACCACCCCTCTGATTTATTCAGTGATTCAAACAGGTCTAGTGCTGGTTCTCACTAATGGGACCAGAAAAGTAGGTGGGATTAGGATGGAGACATCACTTTCCTACTTAGACAGCTAACTTATTGGTAACATTTATGAAAAATAGCAACAAATGCTCTTGAATGTTGGATTGGACGAATCTATGACAGTTATAAATGATGCATTGTTGATGATGCAGATTGTTTTTGTAGTTTTTTGTTAAAGTATGTTGAAAGCTGAACCATTTAACAAGTGATTACCAAGTTGTTACAGTCAACATGTTAGCAAAAAAGTTGTCTACATCAGATACAGCAATAAGATCATTCATTTGGAGTTATGCTTGTGTCCATCTAATGACCTCTAGCTTCACTACACAGCTCCTGCTCCTTCAGCACCTCTTTTGAATCCTCTTTAAATCTACATTGCACCAGCTCGTCGCTAACTCAGCTGGTTTTATAATGCTGGGCAGGTAGAGTCATGTAAAATGGGATTATCAAATTTTCTTAATGCTGTAAGTAAGGATGAGGAGAGCTAAATTATCTGGCCAGAAACCACAACAATCATTGTAAAGAGACTAAAGGCTCCTTTGTGCCTTTTAAGAACTGGGTGATGAGTCTCTGTGGGGATTCCTTTCACATCATTTTACAAAAATGTTTATTAGTGCAGCTCTACAGGGTGAAAAGAAGATTTTTGATCATGTTTTATCTCTTACACTGAATATTAGTCTCTTGCGCGTTGCTGAAGGTTTATCTGAAAAGAGCAGAGTCTGCTGCTGCTGATTCACAACCACAATAAGCCTTTTATCACAGTTGCACACACATTACTGCAGAAATTCCACAGTACTGCAGCTTCCAGTGCAGTTTTGGGGTCAGTGTTTTCAGGCTTAGCTGCTGACTAAAAGGCCTGAGCTCCTTCATAATGCTGCCTGTATCTGAGCCCCATGAAAAGGAAATCTTAGCTCCACCAGGGCTTTGCATGGCTTAGTCAATAACCAGCGTTAACCTCAGAGCGCCTGGCTCAGATCCTGGAGCTGCTGTGTATCTGTGTGTTGCTCTGAAGGCTGGTTTATTGGACAGCTGATACGATCTGGGCCCTGACTCCATTTACTCAGCAGCACACAGGTTAAGCACAAAAGAAAAATTAGTTTCCAAGCAGACACACTAACTGGCAAGAACTTCATCTTTTATCACCCAAAAGATATGTTAAACAGAATTGGATATTTGCATGATTAGACTTAGGTATTGATTATCAATACTTTTTTGAGACAAATGTTTCTGCACCAGTGGCTGAAAACTGTACTGAAAGTTGACACTGACTTTGTGTGTCACATTGTTTGTTTAGGTCAAACATCAAGCACTTTGTGTACTTGCAGATACAATATAAATGCTGAATCAATGCCCTACCACTTCTCTAGTGAAATCTGAGTTTATTCAGTGTGTTCACAGTCCCACAACAAGCGCTTTTAAGCTGAAAGATCCAACTTTGCTTGCAGAAAGACCAGAGAGGAGAAGAGATCTGAATTTCACCTGTACTGTCCACACATATTTGACCGGGTTGCTCTTTGCTTGACGCCTTACCACAATGTGAATACGATATGCTACTATTTGCTGATAAATGCTACTACTAGGTGCTCTAAAACTTTGTCATTTTAAGTTTAGTTGTTGATCCCCTGTGGACATTTATTTAGTTGATATATTCTTTTTTTCAGCTTAAAATAGTGCACTGCAGAAAGACTTCTGATCTACTTGAGTAATGCAGACAATAACAGATTTATGCTCAGCAATGTTGTGTCTCATTTCTTAATATTAGTAAATTGTAGTCTTTTATCAAATGCAAACAAACAGCAGCTACACAATATTGGCACTGCATATTGATCATTGGTCGTCCTGCTCTCTAAATTTCATCATCAGCCATAAAAAAAAAAAATAAATAAATTGTGGACCAGTAGTCACAGCAGCATGTGAGCAAAATAAGCCAAGAGGTAGTGAGTCTTTACCCAAGTTCAGAGATCCTGGGGTCTGCTGACGTGCTGCTAGAAACATTTTCGTAGAGGTTTCCAAAAACTGTGAGGGAGAAACACAAAGGGAGAGAGTAGAAGAGTTTTAACCACAAGCGACACTGTAATGGTAAAACTTCATATACACACATACAGGGCTGTGATCAGGGTTTCTGCACTGTTCATCACATTTAATGTAAGACTTTTCAGTGTTCCACAGAAAACAATTTAAATATCTTCTTCACAGTCGTAGCAGTCAAAGAAAACCATCCAAAAATCAACAAATTAGATCTACAATAATATACAAGTACATAAACTGACTGATGCTGAATTCACATTTCTGCCAATAGTTCCTGGCTGTACGCAGCAGTATTTCAGAGTGAAATCAATAATCAATTGATGTGAACTGGGCTCATATGATTACTAAACAGGCCTCTCTGTCACGAGTACAGGGGCTGGAGGGGTCAGCAGCGTTTTTCCTGTTTGAAAACTACAGAGCTCAATTTAAAGTTACATATTTATCTACAGCAGGTTAAAAAAATTAGGAAAATAAAATATTTTAATATCTTCTATGTCCTCTTTGGGGGAGCTGAACTCTTACTATGTCTTTCTCTTACCAACATAATGGACTACCTTCTCCTTGTTTTCATCTGCAGCAGCTATTTGTGTAGCATTGTTCATGTTCAGCACCAGTCATCTCTTCAACATTACAAAATAAGCATCATAACTGTATCTCATGTAAAGCACTTTGTTAGTTTTTGGAAGTTTTTTTTGTTTTTTCCCCCCGAATTCTGATAATAGTTCATCTGCCACACAAGATTGAGGTAAAGGGAAGTAGATGGAGGATTCCCACCTGTGCTATTCTGGTCTTCTTCTGCTGGAACTGACAAAGTCTGAGAATCCGAGCCCCCGACTCGTCATTAAACTGCTGCTGGAAGGGATGCAGTAGCTGCACCTGCTCCCCAAAACTGGACACATGAGCAGAAAACACACGTTAATATTTGCTACGTGACTCCATATTACTTTAAATTTCTGTCCATTTATCTCATCACTTTGTGCAAACATATATGAAGAAACTGACAAACATAGTGAATGTTCTCACCTGCACACTGACACCTGTCCGACCTCCAGCAGAGTGAGGGCGTTGATGATCACTGACAGGGATTCAAATGCCAGCTGTACCACACACAGACAGGACAGCAGGAATTGATTTGTGAGACATTTACTAGAATTTTTTTGTGTGTGTGTGTGTGTGTGTGCAGACAATTGAAGGATGTGTCCAGTTCTGTACAAATGTAAGCAAGCCGTTAGACAGCCCAGGAAATTCTACTTTTGTTGATTTTGGAGGTGAAACGTGCCTAAAATAAGCAGCAACTGCAGTGTGTGCGAAAGTCCTGCTTATTTATGAACGTTTTCTAACATTTGGCATGCAGCTGTACAAAATACACCGTTATCATTAAATGTTTCTTCCATTTATTCAACAGAATAAATGTGGACACGCCACAGGAGCAGCAATGCAAAGCAGTAAATGAGGCAACACATGAGGGCTGTCTGACCTGTTTGGAGTGGTTGTCCACCATGCTGGAGGAGTCGTCCACAGCCAAACAGATCTGATATTCTCTCTTGCTGGGCTTCGTCCTCCGCAGCCAGATTTTGTCTTTGCGGAACTGACTGGCAATGTAGGGGATCACCTTCCTCATGTTCAGACGCTTCCCCGTGCGGTAGTCACCTCTGAGGAGCAGTGAAATATCACACATACATGTAAGCACAAGCATCCACCTCTCTGTTCAACATGAAAACAGGTAAACAATGAGCTGTCAGTTTCACTACTGGAGACAAAATCAGGACAAAACACATAAAAAGGTGTATGCAAAAGGTTAATAGTTCAGGGAGAAGTGTGTTGGTACAGACTTGAGTTTGGCGGCCTGTGTGGGCTCTAGGATGAGGCGGAGCTGCTCGCACAGCTGCTGGGAGAGAGCCGAGGTCAGAGTCTGGTACTGATGCCACATGGATGCTGCTGCACTCTCCTGGAACACAACCAAGACGACAGCATGAGATAACAACCAGTATTACACAGTTGACATTTGGATAGAGCCAGTGATCATAATTTCTGAAGATGTGCATGTTTGATTTTTTTTAAGTGTAGAAGATCTAAGATGAATAATTAAACCACAGCGATGCATAAATCTCAGCACAACACAGGTGAGACCGTAAAAGGAACTTTTTGAGGAACTCAACTTCCCTACCTGCATTTTCTCTGCAGGAACTAGTTCAAATTGGCTAAATAGGCTAGGATTTTCTGCAGCGTTGCAATGCAGCATCCAGGAATCAGGATGGAGCAGCCAGCCTTTTACAACTGATGGATTTCATATATGCAGAAAACGACATTCAGAGGAACTGAATTGCCTAATCTTCCAGAAATTGTCTTCAAGTTTGACTTTAGAGCAGATCTCAGGTCAGACTCACCTCCTCATGAGTCCCTGGAGCCAGTTTGTGCCAGGCCTCCAGCTGCAGCTCCATCTCCCTCCTGATCTCTTCGGGGTCTCTCTCTGATTTCTGCAGAAACACAAACATTGTTACCTGCAGATGTATGTAGGCAGAGAGCTGATGTTTTCATTTAGAACCAGACACTGTGATCTGAATACAGGGTTTCAGCAGAGTTCACCACATTAAACTTAAATCTATTAAACCTTGATAATATCGGATAAATCATAATGTAATACCTGTTTCAGGTCATGCCAAGCACAAGCACAAAATGTAGTAGTAACAAGATCTAAAGTAGAACCTGCTCTGATGTTCTAACAGATCGACAGTTTTTAAAATACATGGATAAAGAAAACAAACAAAACAATCTGTTCTTACTGTCTTCTGATGCTGTTTGTAGTTTGATTACATTATTCATATTGCATAAAACTTTTAAAATAACTTCTAACAAAGCCACCTGTGAGGATGAATATAATTTCAAAGCAGGTGTTCGGTGTTTACCTGCATAGTCTCCAGCAACAGATCAGCAATAGTGTGAATCGTGGATTCTGTGCTTCTCTCTGCTCTGTCTTCTTCTCTGGGTTGTTGTCGGTCCTTACACTTCTCTTCCTCCTCCTCATCTCCCTGCCTCTGCACCTCCATCTCTCTGCTGTCTACACCTGCAACAATAAGAGCAGTCAGGATATGTCAGTTTCACTAAACTGTGATTCAAAAACCAGCATAAACACAGAGAGTTGGTAAAACTACAACACCTTTCTGGGATGCTTTGGAAGAGTCCAGCTGCTCAGGTTTTAACTCCTGGACCTCAGCGGCCTGAAGTTCTTCTTCCTGGTTCTCTGTTTCCATGGCGACATCCTCATCATTTTGATCTTCATCTTGGTCCTGCTGAGGTCCTGCTGCTTTCTGCTGGTCTGCACTGGCAACATCTGGAAACAGAAAGACCAGCAAACATGACATTTAATCATCTGCTTGAATATGGGGTGAAACCAAACAATGTTAAACACTGTTATAAGAAAAATGGCAACTGAAATTTCCACTCTCAGTGTGTTTGGTGTGTGTCTGATCGCTGACCGTATGTCTGAGTGTCGTAGGCTGTCTCCCCCTGTTTGATGTGCTCATACAAGTCGGACTCCTGCTGGGCGTCACTCTGCCTGTTGTCTTCGGTGCGATCCTTACTGCTCTCCACCGTACGCAGACGCTTGTTGACACGCTCATTGTAGTCGCCTGTCGAACGCTCGTTGTCTGCTTGGCCGGGTTTTCTTTTGAAGCTCTGGAATAAGAAGCAGGGAAAGAAATTTGATTTATTTAAACCTGAGAGAAACTGAGAGAGGCTGAAGTGGGAGTAGTAAAACAAATTTACCACACCTGAGTCTTGCTCTGAGTCTGTTTCTGTGAAACCATTCTTGCCGTCTGCTTTGACTCGTGGCCCTCTGATTGGCTGGCGTCAGCTGATCCACTGCCATGCTCCT